CCCCTATATAAATCAATGGTGAGACCTCATTTGGAATACTGTGTGCAGTTCTGGGCACCACACCTTAAAAAGGATATTATAGCTTTGGAAAAAGTGCAGAAAAGGGCAACTCGAATGATAAAAGGGTTGGAACACTTTCCCTATGAGGAAAGGTTAAAGCGCTTAGGGCTCTTTAGCTTGGAGAAAAGACGACTGAGGGGTGACATGATCGAGGTTTATAAGATTATGCATGGGAAAGAGCAGGTAAAGAAAGAGGTACTTTTCTCCCTTTCTCACAATACAAGAACTCGTGGGCACTCCATGAAACTGCAGAGCCGTCGGGTTAGAACGGATAAAAGGAAGTACTTCTTCACCCAAAGAGTGATTAACACATGGAATTCACTGCCACAGGAAGTGGTGGGTGCTACAAGCATGGACGGCTTCAAAAGGGAATTAGATAAGCATATGGAGCAGAGGTCCATCAGTGGCTATTAGCCACAAGGTATAGCTAGGGGCTCTGGGGCATAGGACGTCCTTCTTCACCCAAAGAGTGATTAACACTTGGAATTCACTGCCACAGGAAGTGGTGGGTGCTACAAGCATGGATGGCTTCAAAAGGGAATTAGATAAGCATATGGAGCAGAGGTCCATCAGTGGCTATTAGCCACAAGGTATAGCTAGGGGCTCTGGGGCAAGTGATGCTCTGTCTTCTTGGTGCTTGGGGGGGGTCAACAGTGGGAGGGCTTCTAATGTCCTGGCCCCACTGCTGGACCTCCTGATGGCACTGGTATTTCTGGCCACTGTGTGACACAGAGTGTTGGACTGGATGGGCCTTTGGCCTGATCCAACATTGGCGTCTCTTATGTTCTTATGTTAAGTGGACGCCAAAGGCATTTAAATGTGTTCTGAGCTCCCTCACTTCGCACCATCATGATGCGAAGTGGATTCAGAAGGCATTTAAATGCCGTCTGAGTTGACTTCTGCATTGCGTTGCTGCGGGGCAGCGGTGGGGGGGCTTGCAAAAGCCACTTAAAAGAATGTGTTCCCTTTAAATGGCTTTTGCAAGCGCCCCCCCCCCATCACGGATCTCACGAACAGTGAACCAGTTCGTAAAATAGAAAAGTCCGTGAAAGTTTGCGGTTTGTGAAACCCACGAACCTCCATTTTTTTTTGGTTCGTGCAGATCCCTATTTAGCACTAACTGTGTTCAAAAGGCAGCCTCACATAAAGCACGTTATAGCAATCTAATCGGGATGTGAACAGAGTATGGAAAACGGTGGCAAAATAACTTTCTAAGAAAAGAGTGTCGTTGGGTCATCAATGCTGGTTAAAACCTCTATGAGCCACAGTTGAAATCTCAGACCTCATCTGTAAGCATGGAATCAAAACAGTACTTTTAATCAACATAGGGCATAAATATTAGCAGTTTTTCCCCTGGGAGTCTGGAATTACTCAGGTTCCATTATTTTTCTGGGGACTTGGGGGGGGGGCGTGCCTGGAGTGGCTATTTTTCAACCAACATCAAAATTGCAGGGGACCTCGTGCTGCCTGTCCACTGAAGAATCCCTAAGTTTCAAGTCAGATTGGACCCAGGCACCCAATTCTACAGACCCCTAAACAAAATGTCCCCAGACAGCCTACTTGCAGGGGTATAAACTGGAGAGGAGAAAGGCCCTTCCCCCACTAGGGAAGGAGAGAGGGAGGGAGGGAGAAGGAGCCACCCGAGCCATGGTGTTGGCCAGGTTGTGCCTCCCTCCCATTAACCAGGAAACCTTCAATGGGGGGAGGGGACAGGCCTGAAATCCTTAAAATGCCAGCCCTGGGTATTCCCAAATATTTTTGGAAGTATATGGGATGCAGATACCTAGGGATGCCAAGTCCCCCCGGGGGGTGGGGAAATCCCCGCCCGGGAGGCCTGTTCCCCGCCGCCGCCGGATCGGGCCCCCGGGGGGAACCCCACCCCCAAAGCACTTCACACGGAAGTGACGCAAGCATGTTGGGGACGTTGGGGGCGGGGCCACAATCATCTGAGGGAAAACTCTATGGTTTTCCCTCGAATGATTGTGGGCCCGCCTCCAACGTGCTCGCGTCACTTCCGTGTGACGTGCTTGCAGTGTGCGCGTGCGAAGACTCCTGGAGCAAGGCTGGTCTCCCCCACTCCGGAACAGGTAAGCACTTGGCAACCCTACAGATACCTGTATTCCCAAAAAATCCTGAATGCTTCTCCAGAGTACACCCCCCCCCCAATACCGGTAGTATATTTTTGAGGTATATATTCAGAATGGATGTGTTTGAGCACACATCCCTAGCTTTAAACCCCACTGCCTCTCATTGAAGAAAAATAAGATCTTCGCAGAATCCAAATGAATTTGAGGCAGCAGTCACCTCATTTCTCAAAGCTAAAATGGCAAACCCTGTTCCCATATACAGCATGCTTTCCACTCACTATTCAGTAACTACATATCATTACTCGTATTAAGCGGGAAGAAGTGCTTTGAGGCAGGTGTAGTTTAGGAATCCCCCATTTTAGCAATAAAAGCACTGATTCATTGTCATCTTCCCCTATCGGTTCAGTTTTTCCAGCACAGTTTCATACCCACTCTGAGCTTTATACCCTGCAGCATCTCGTGAGAGAAGAAATGTAGGTACACTAATTAAATCATCAAAAGGCTCATAGTGATGGTATGCAAATCATTTTTCCTTGGATAACTGATGGTATGCCATGTTACGGATACTTGGGTTCTTCTAAGACTTCTATGTATCCCTGCTTGTGGTGACTGCTGCTTACTTAAATTGGAGCTAGGAGGCAATAATCTGGTCTTAACATCTCAGCTACGTTTTATGTTTAGCACACTGTTAATATCCGTGGTATTTTTAGACTGCTAAACAGCATATTTCTTCAATCGTATGGCTGTGACTACACAGATACCATATGGTACATACTTCATAGTATGTAGAAGTACTAGCATTAATACTTCTTTTCAGTGTGACATCATTAGCTGGATCCTATCCATGATGTTGGATCCTACCCAGTGAGATTCATGATTTGAGATAGTGGAGCCTATCAACTTTATGCACCACCTCTTGCATGCATGCTCTATCAACATAAAGTTTTTGTCTATGGGACCATGTTCCTACTGACTAAGACTTCTAGAGCTACTTTTAAGGTAGTGGTAAAAATGGGAGCTGCGGTGGCTCAAGTGGTTAAGACGCTGAACTGCAGGGTGTGGAAGGTCAGTAGTTCAGCAGTTCGAGACCCGGGTGCCACAAGACGGAGTGAGCTCCCGTCTCTAGTTCCAGCTCCTGCCAACCTAGCAGTTCGAAAGCAAGAAATTTCAAGTAGATAAATAGGTACCACTTCGGTGGGAAGGTAACAGCGTTCCGTGTGCCTTGGTGTTTAGTCATTCTGGCCACATGACCACGGAAACGTCTTCGGACAGCGCTGGCTCTTCGGCTTGGAAACGGAGATGAGCACTGCAACCCTAGAGTCGGACTCGACTGGCTTTCGAGCAAGGGAACCTTTACCTTTACTTTACATTATGATAATGAATGTGATTACTAGATTCATTTTATTTAAGCTGCTTTAGGAGCCAATCTGGCTGAAAATTGAGGTGAAAAGAATCAAAGAAACAAACTTATCAGTGTTTGGTATTCAAATGTTAGCAGGATTTACATCCAGGATAAATTTGTTGGGCCAGATTCTTGGCTTCATTGTACTCTCTAGGTGTTACACACAACTGTTTTGTGATTTGTTCAACTTATAATAATTGCACTAATTAGGCAATATTGGAGTAACTGATACATAATGTTGACTGCATTTGATACTGGTTTTTTAAAACCATATGTGCTTTTGCTTGTGTATCTTTGCAGTGATTCAGAGAGTCGAAAACTATGCAAGAAGATGAAAGTTGACCCTAGTCTGAAGGAGAAAGGTGTGGAATTACTGCATTACAAGTAAGTTGAAGGGTGACAGAGAGTTTTTAAATTGTGATGCCCACTGAGTTTAAAAAATCTCTAGAATAGGGGCCATCATTTTGTTATACATCTGTACTCTGGAGACCTTTACCCTGTTTAGATATTGCCATGTGGAGGATTAGGTTATGTGCAATCAATGGCCATGATCATTTTGCACTATAGTAAACTGATGGTCTTGGCTAACTTCTGTTGGTACAATCCAGTCAGAGCAAAGACCCATTGATTCCAGATGTGAGCTTAAACATATGCTTAACTCTCCAGTTAAAATCACTGAAACTTTAAACTGTGGTTGACGTTGGTTGGGTTCAGGGGTCATTTCGTAGAAAAAGAGCTAGGGGAACTCATTAGCATAACACATTAGCATATGCCACACCCCCTGACATCAGGGGCCCGGCGGTGGACCTGCAAGGCCAGCAGGAGTGCGAGGAAGCCCTGCCAAGGCCCGCCCTGGCCCAGGCAGTCAGGGGTGGGGAGAGGCGGGGAGGAAGCAACTTACCCTCCCTCTTCTCCTGCCTCCTCCTGGCTGAATGAGGGCTGGAAGCGGGGCAGCCGGAAGCAGGGGGCGGGGCTTCATCATGTGCCCCGCCCCCTGCATCTCACCTGGGGGAACTGCGTTCCCCCGCGTTCCCCCCTGAAATGACCTCTGGTTGGGTTGTTCCTATTAAGTGTGTGTGTTTAGTGTAATTCTTATTCAACCTGTGTAGACCTGACACATGCTTAAAAGCAGGGGTCATTTCCTGCAGGAGCGCACAGGAGTGGAGCTCCAGCAGTAAAGAGCCCAGGGGGCGGGCAAATGCAACAAGCCCCACCCCCTGCTCCCAACAGCCCTCAGAGCAAGAAGCAGCCAGGTAAGTTGCAGAGCTCCCCCCGGGCCCCTGGTCCAAAACAGTCCAGTGGCACCTTTAAGACCAAGTTTTATTCAGGTACAAGCTCTCCCTCCTCTGCGAACACAGATCTGCATGTTCTCCCCCCCCCCCAATAGCTGTCAGGTCCCACAGCAAACAACGTAGTACACACTTGCAAAAAGGTTTACTTTATTGAAGCCATGAGTCACTTGAACAGAAGCACTGTTCGGAATAACTTTAGCTCATTGAGCTGGGAAGGTTAAAGCAAGTTCATAATTACTACAGCCAATAAACATGGTTCCCGCGTTCGGGTAGAGTGCGTTTTGCGCGCCCAAAACCTTGGGAAAGCAACTGCTACTTTATTATCAATAAAATGCGTTTCTCACAGTTTCTACTCATTAAAGCCAAAGCAAAGTTCTTCTCTCTTCCACCTGTGACCTTGGAAAGATAACGTTACAGCAAAGCATGGCTGGCGTAGGCTAACAAGAATGCAGTTACCATGGAAATATGCGCATGACAATATGAGCGCATCCCTGGAGGGGGGGGGAATTAACAGACAGGTACATTAAAGAATACACATAGGAACACGGAAAGAACCTTTGGCAGCTTGCTGACAATAGCTAGGAATCCAAAACAGCCCAGTGGAGCCTGAGTGGTGGGTGTTGCCTTCTGACACACTTCCAGTGATGCCAGGGGGTGTGGCATATGCACCTCTTTTTCTATGAAATGACCCCTGCTTAAAAGCATATTTTATACCAACAGTATGTTGGATCCAGAGGTTATTTAACATAGACAATTTTGTTCTTCAGGTATTGATACGTGTACTTTTGTCAACATCAGCAGCTGAAAATTGATGTATCTCCATTTATCTAGTCTGACAAGATGTGGGACTCACCAGTTACAATAGGTTGAATGTGAAAGTTGTTTTCTGCCAGCAGAAGGAAAGGGGGTTCAATTTTTCGCCGGTTCTGACCTACTACTAAGGGTCCCTGTCTCACAAGGAACTCCAGTGGTTTTAAGCCGGAGGGAGAAGTGGGAAAGTTCCATTCTGCTGGGATCTGCCTGAACGTACTAGTTTTTGTGATATGTGTGTTAAACTTAAAAAAAAAAAGGGTTTAAACTTTTAAAAAGCAGGTATCTTAGGTAGAAATGGTTTTCCTCCTCTTAAAAACAATAAAACCATTTTGAGATTATTTGGACACCCTATATTCAGTCCATGGGGTCGCGAAGAGTCGGACTCGACTGTGCGACTGAACAACAACAAATATTCAGTTCATAGTGCTGTTCCGTGAGACAGTTTCGAACATTGCTACTTAGCACACACCGAGGATGGTTAACCAGCTCATTGACTTCAGCATGTGATTGTATTAGCTCTTTAGAGACCAATATGCATGATTATAGTGGTGATGTTAGAAACGTAAGTTTCCCTGGGCATCTGCCACTCCCCAAATCTTGCCTGTGGTAAATGCACTCATTAAGACTTTGTGGAAGTGATTGCTCATTAGGGACCTGTTTGCCTGGAAAAAAACTTGTTTTCAATTGTTGCATTCTGCACACCCTGCAAGTTGAGGAAAACTTCATTTATCCTGACCAGAGGAAACAGCTGCATGATTTTCTAATGACAATCCTGAAATTAATTGCTGTTTCCCCTCTACTCCTTTCTTAACAGGGATGGAACATTTCACACTGAATATAACAGAGCACTCACGCTGAAGGTAAATTTATACTAGTTTGAGATCTTCTGGAGAGTGAGACATGCTTGGATGTAAAGCAGATGTTAATGCTTACAGCTTCATATGGGGGGGTGGGAGATGCATTTCACAAACAGCTGTTTGGCCGACCTAAAAGTTTTCTTTCGCCTCCCATATCTTCTGCACATCTGCCAGCCAAACATCCTGTAAAGCTGTGTGTGATTAACTAGGCTGAGTCAGTGTTAAATTGCATTATAAACTGAGAGCTTACTAGCATTCTGGAAACAAATACAAGCTTTTATTTTTGTTTGTGGGATTTTCCTCCCATGAAAGATCCTGTTTAATGCAAGTCTGTGTCTAATTGTATGAAGCTGACAATAACTGGTAAAATACTTTATGATTTCAGTTCATCTGCTATGAGATGAGCTTGAAGGAGAGATGGAAATGGCCTTTTTGCAGATCTCTTCATATAGGTAAAGGTAAAGGTAAAGGTTTCCCTTGCTCAAAAGCCAGTCGAATCCGACTCTAGGGTTACGGTGCTCATCTCCGTTTCAAAGCCGAAGAGCCAGCGCTGTTCGAAGACGTTTCCGTGGTCATGTGGCCGGCATGACTAAACACCAAGGCGCACGGAACGCTGTTACCTTCCCACCTGCGTAACAGGCTGCATCCCACCCCTTGGTAACAGAAGAAGTAACTGAAGAAAGCCCACCCCTTGTGGTGACTGTGGAAAAGACTTTGTTCACAGGTCATCTCACAAGGCATCAGAAATTACACTTGCCCTGCAGTGATTTTAAGCTCCAGAACACCCTCAAAATAATAAAAATAATACTGCTCGTAAACTTTATTGTATTGGCTCAAAGCCTTAGCAAATAACACCAAAATGCCAAAACAAGATCAAAGCCATAATATAGCAATCACAGTAATAATTGAACTCTTAATATCCATTACAGATCTGTAAACAGTTTTAAAATCGTTATGACAATTTAAGTTAAAAACAACAAGAATTAAAGAATTCAGTCAGTCAGTCTGACAGCATAATGCAAGGATTTATCCATTGGCTGCCTTAACAGTGGTTGTTTTTGACAAGGTCTTTATCACCTGTGCAACAAACGTTGCCATTTGCAGTGTTACCCGTTTAGTTTTGTCGGCAAGCAATATAATTAGTCTGTCATTGTCCGCTCTCCTTGGATATTGTAATAGAATATTCTTGAGGTATCTTTCATGTTCTAATGCAAATCATGGACAACAGAGGGCCACATGGTCTAAATTCTCAATAGATTTCTGGGTGCAAGTGCAGAAAACGTTCTTAGTATGGGATCCTGTTATAATGACCTCTTAATATTGCCAGTTGTGAAGTATCCAACCGTGCTTTGGTAAATGCTTTCCTATGCTTGGATTTTGATAAATCAGTAAAATAAGACTGAAGGGTTAGAAGGGAAGGTGCAAGCTCCTTGTAAAGGGGAGCTAGTCTCAAGGTACTCAACAGTGCAGAGTCCATCCGAACACTTATATTTGGCAGTGTTTGTTTTATTAATTGCTTTGTTTCAAAAAAAGTCAAGCCCTCTTGAATTATCTTCTGAGAATCCAAGTTTGGCTAACAAGTTCAGTGTATAACGTCACCATGGATTGCTTTTCCCTTCCTCGTAAACCAAACTGAATGTTCAGCCAATAATTGATCATAGCTTTATGGGCTGAGGCAAGTAATGGCAGCAGAGCCTGTTCTGATCTAGCTATGGCTGCTGGTATTGAGTTAGGAACCACTAATAGCATACAAATGAACGTATTCTGAATGATTTCCAAAGGGTGCAGATTTCCAGTCTCTCAAATTGGGGCTCCATACCTTGTAGGGCTGCCAAGTGGGGGCAGGTAAACCCCCGCTTTGGAGGCCCGATTTCCGCCGCCGCGGAATCGGGCCCTGGGGGGAAACCCCTCCCCCCGAAGCGCAGCGTGGCTGCGTAACAGGAAGTGTCGCAACCACGTAGATCATGTTGTGGGGCGTGGCCCCAATCGTCGGAGGGAAAACTCTATGGTTTTCCCTCCAACGATTGGGGCCACGCCCCCAACATGCTCTATGTCGTGCGCAGTGTTCCCTCTAATCTGAGTTAGTGTGAGCTAGCTCACAGTTTTTTAGCCTCCAGCTCACAGATTTTTGTCTTCGCTCAGGAAAGATGGCTCCAGAGCAAACTAATTTTATGCAGCAGCCAAACTACCTGCTCACAACTTTAATGCCAGTAGCTCACAAAGTAGAATTTCTGCTCACAGGACTCCACAGCTTAGAGGGAACATTGGTCGTGCGTCACTTCCTGTGATGTTCTGGCGGCGCGTGCGCGCAAAGCGCACGCACACATCCAGCAGCGGCTCCCGGTCTTTGGCTTGCCCAAAGTCATCCAGCAGGTGCAAGTGGAGAAGTGGGGAATCAAACCCGGTTCTCCCAGATTACAGTCTGCGCACTTCACCACTACACCAAACCACCAAGAATACTGTTCAGTTAAAAAAAAATCCCTATGTGTTTCACAATAAAGTTTCTTCAGGGGAATCTGCTAGTCCTTCACTATTTACAAGTTCTCACCTTTATTGTGAAATGCGTACCTGAACAATAAAATATTCTTCCTTATTTGTAACTCAGCTTCCCCCCTGTTCTTGGTCTCCTGTAAACTGCCTTGTGAGCCTCTGACTGAAAGGTGGTATATTGATTAAACACAAAGCTGAAGAAATTAACTTATGTCAGTAGTTGTAATGTGAAAAAGTGAAGTATCTACATACCCATGTGCTGTCTCTCTCATACACATACTCTTTAAATTTTGTCATTGTTGTGATTCTTAACTCAAAGTATTCTTCATGCTTTCCTCAAAGTCACCCTTCTGTTAGTGCTTGATACTGTGTAATTGTCCAAACCTCTGTGTAATAGATTTGTTGTACTGGGTGCATCTTTGCGCATATGCATTCCTGTTCTCCAAATCTCTGATTTCTTATGATCTTGCTGCTGTCCAAGTAATATCCTATTGCCCACTTCCTCCAGCTCAAATTACATCCTGTAATCAGGTGTGTTCTTCTAGTCCTGGCTTACTAGGTATTTGTCAGAGAATCTTCGTTAACCCTCTCTACTTTATTTGATTCCAGAAATCCCTGTGACTTTGTGTAAAAATCCAGTGGAGAGGGGGGCTAGGTTTCTGTACTTTACTTCATTTGAAATTCATGTAGAAAGAAACTTGTAGTATCTAGTGAGTGTGTGGCTTATGCATGCCTTTTCCTGCTGATTTCCCCCCCTCTGTGGGTAGTAGTCTAAAATAGGGTTGTGCATCTGACAGGTTAAAAAAAGATCTGGACAGTGAATCATAAGGCATTATGCTCTTATGGATGTTGTTGAACAGGGCTCAAGTGCAGGCTTAGTTTGATATAAAGTTGGAGATTTGTCTTCCTGTTGTTGTCTGTCGTTAGAAGGTTCAGTGATTATGGAAACATAGCAAGTGCATTGCCATACTTGTCATTTTAGCTGTACTTTTGCATGTCTAGAGTTAGAGCAGACATACTAGTTGGCTTTGACAGTTTGATGGGCAGAAAAAGCTAGTGTTAGAATGGCTTAAGTTTCCTACCAATTTAAGAAAGAAAACTGAAATAAAAAATGTGTATTGGGCTCATCTGCTCAGCTGCATGCTGGTCCACAGTAGAAGGGAAGAAGAAAAAATACCCCAATACTCCAAAGGCTATTTTACAATATCTAGGAACACCGTAGCCAATGTTCCCTCTAAGCTGCAGAGTCTTGTGAGCAGAAATTCTTTGTGAGCTACTGGCATTTGTGAGCCAGTGATTGGGCTGCTTCATAAATTAGCTTGCTCTGGAGCCCTCCGTCCTGAGCCAAGACAAAAATGTGTGACCCGGAGGCTAAAAAACTGCGAGCTAGCTCACACTCACTCAGCTTAGAGGGAACACTGACTGTAGCACAAATACACAGTAATTGAGCAATAATTCCTAGCACCACCTTCTGGACCTGGTCTACCAGATAGGAACCGTACCCACAGCCCCCGTTTCGGAAGCTGCTGGTAAGTCAACTTTTCTGTAGACCTCAAGCCTTACCACCAGGGGTGATACATACTGTCTGTTCATTATGATGTCAATACATGTGGTGGTGGACAATGTTTGTCCTTGACCTCTCACCATGGCTTGCAAAGTCCATCTCTCCAGACACTTCATTTTCTGCAGTTTAAAAATTATTTTTAAAGAACATAGAGCAAAGGAATGAGCAACAGGCAACCTGATATATGTTCTGTTGAAAACATGAGGCATCCTTTTGACTGGTTGAGAGAGAAAACATGCAACGTGCTGAATCGGTGCTTTCTATATCTATAATGATGGATGCAGTCAGGGGTCGTTTTGTAGAAAAAGAGCTAGGGGAACTCATTAGCATAACTCATTAGCGTATGCCACACCCCCTGACATCACCGGAAGTGTGTCATAAGGCCACACACCCCGCCCCCAACGGTCCATGCCGCCACCGCCGGCCTTGCAGCTCCACTGCCGAGCCCCATGACGGGCCCGGCGGTGGACCTGCAAGGCCGGCGGGAGTGCAAGGAAGCCCTGCGAAGGCCCTCCCTGGCCCCAGGCAGGCAGGGGTGGGGAGAGGCAGGGAGGAAGCAACTTACCCTCCCTCTTCTCCTGCCTCCTCCTGGCTGAATGAGGGCCGGAAGCGGGGCAGCTGGAAGCAGGGGGAGTGGCTTCGTCATGTGCCCCGCCCCCGTACCTCACCCGGGGGAACTGCGATCCCCCGTGATCCCCCCCGAAATGACCTCTGGATGCAGTGATGGCATACACGAATTCTTCATCCTGGTATGAACCAATCTTACTCTTTATCATTTGAAGGGCTGGATCCCTCCCCCTTGCTAGTACTACAAAGAGATCTGTGTTGGACATTAAGCTGTACTCTGACAGTGGAAACAGAAAACGATGTAAATGATGCTTTAAATAGCCAAATGACTTTCCTTGCACTCAAGAGAATATTAATTCTTGTTACTCTAGCCTCTTTATTTCCTCTTGAAAAGTAAGAAACCAAATGCTTCTTTAACTGGCGTCCTTTTCTCTTTTTTTGATGGGAAGAAAATGTGCAGATATAGTTCACCGGCTATAGTCTGTTCACACGTAATACTTAGAGCGTCCGTGTGGCGCAGTGGTTAGACTGTTGGACTACAGAGACCTCTTTGAATCCCCATCCGGCCATGGAAACTTCCTGAGTGAAATAGCACATATTCAGCCAAACCTATTTCACACTGTGGTTGTGAGGATAAAACGGAGGCGGGGGGAACCGTGTGCATTGCCTTGGGCTCCTTTGAAGAAAGTCGGGATAAAAATGTAAACAGATTCTTCCCTGTTGTTCAGCTTTTTGTGTAGAAAAAGCCCAGCAGGAACTCATTAGCATAATAGACCACACCCAACACCAGGAACTCATTAGCATATTAGGCCACACCCCTGACAGCACAGCTCATTGGCATATTAGGCCACACCCCCGTGTTACCAGAAGTGTGGCCATCCAGCCACACCCACCTTTTGCTTCTTATTCTGTTTACCTTGTTTGTTGACAAAACCCAGGGCCTTTTTTGTAGCAGGAACTCCTTTGCATGTTAGGCAACACAGCCCTAATGTAGCCAGTCCTCATGAGTTCCTGCTGTTGGGTGTGGCCTATTATGCTAATGAGTTCCTGCTGGGTGTGGTCAACTTGGGAGCCAGCTGGAACTCCGTTCCTGTCCGTTCCTGCCCAAAAATAGCCCTGTTGTTCAGATGATTAATGAACATTCTTCTTTCTGATACGATATGCAGGAGGGGTTGTACAACCGGAACATAAAACTCGTATGTACAGGTTACAGATTTAAAATCTCGTATTTTAAAAGTTACTAAAAAAGAGAGCTGGCTTTAAATGTGAATTACAAAGTGCAGCAAAAAATGCTCTTTCAAAAGCTGGAATGTGAGCATCAGCATGGACACACCTTGGTTGGAGCTGATGTTAAAAGCTGTTATCTTTCCCCCCACTTCTTGGCAGTCAATGGTGGCCTTTCTAAAGGATCCAGAAGGCGTGCCATTGTGGGAAGAGGATCCTGAAGCCAAAGACGTCGTCCATGTGGACAGTGAGAAGGTATGTCAACTGGAGTTATAATTAATCCTGTAGTTCCCAGAATAAGAACCAGCAATATTTGCAGCTATTTGATGCAGAAGGTAGGTTGGAGAGTTTAAAAAAAAAAGAAAAGGTGATGTTATTTTTATTTTTCTGAAACTTTATTTTTCTGAAGCTCCTAAATTTCTCCAAGGCCAGCATAACTGCACATGCTTAAAGCAAGAATATTTCTAGTGCGCCTGTGAAGTAGCAATGAGTTGGAGATGCTTGTGAAACATGGGTTGTGTCCAGACAGGCAGGTTGCCGTGGCAGCATCCTGTGGAGAAAAAAGCTGCTGGAGTTAGGTGCGCTTCACAGCAGTTACACCGGTCCCACAACGTCGGCTGCATTGGGTAGCTGGCCCGTGAGGGCCAGTTCACATCGCTACCACGCCAACAGCACGGAGCCATGGCTGATGCGCCCCTCTGATTGGTTGGGTTGCTGAAAACGATATACTGCTGCGCTGGAAACAGGAGGGGGCGATCACATGGCTCCTGCACTTCCATGGTGTGCCTGTGTGTTCAGATGTCAGAAAAGCCGCCATGGAAGCACCTCACCTGGAAAACCACCACTTTTTCCCGGTGGTTGTTTAAGGCGTATGGGAGTCGTTTTGCAACAAGGTAGGGACGGATGGCTGCCGATTGGCAGATGTGGGTGTCTGATCATGCCGCTTTGATCCCGGGGGGTGGGGTGGCTACGCCGGACCAAATTGCCTGTGTGACCGCAACCTTGGATTGCACATCTCCTGTGGCACTGCAAAGGTTCCTAGAATGATAGCAATTTTTATCCCAGCTGATAAAATTATTGCCCATTGCAGCTTCTGGTATAGCAACATTAGGCTTTACAGAATGGGAATGATGAAGTGGTGGTGTAGTGGTTAAGCGCGGTGGCCACTGATTTGAAGAACCGGGTTTGATTCCCCACTCCTTCATATGAAGCCTGCTAGTCAACCTTGGGCCAGTCCCAGTTCTCTCAGAATTCTCTCAGCCCCATCTACCTCACAAGGCGCCTGTTGAAGGGAAGGCGATTGTAAGCCACTTTGAGACTTCTTGGAGTAGAGAAAACTGGGGTATAAACCCCCCCCTCTTCTTCTTATCTAAAATGTTTGGGTCTTCCAGTCCTTGGATTATCCCACAGCCAATGTGTATTGATTACAGAGTTTGTATAAGGAGTATTTTGATGTGTTAAGGTAGTATTTAGAAGCAATGTGAGCTTTTACCTCGTACAAAATGAGCTTTTTGAACAGTACTCTTTTGCCTAAGTGGATAAATGGAAAGTTAAGGTATTATGGTTCTCCTAATATTCCACAACCAAAAAATTCCATGGCTGCGGTCACACGGAACATTAGCTACGCTAGAGAGACGGAAGATAGGCGGATTTTCTGGGCATGATCTCACCGCCACATCTGGGAAGCGTAGAGCTCCCGTGGCTCACCCGAGGCTTCCCGCCAAAGATGCGGGGTAAAAAACTAGTACCTCCGAGGTACTAGTTTCCGGTAACCGCGAGGCAAGGGCGGACATCTGATCACGGGCATCCGGCGCCCGCCCATGTCCCCTTGCAAAAAGGTTTTTTTCCCCCAAGTCTCCATGGATGCGCACAAGCACCCAACGGAGCTTCTTTGCCGCACCGCAGGATTGTCCTGTGATCGGCACCCCCCCCTACCCACGGGACCTCCACGGAACCTCCACGGGACGTCTGATCGTGCAACCACGCGTTATTTTGCCCTGGGGCAAACAGCCACGCCTCCCCCCGCGATATCCGGCCCATGTTCTTTTAAAACCCTTGCAACCTGAATTGACATCATTACAAAATTGCACCCCAAATCTAGGAGCAAGTAGGACTTCAGTGGTTTATGGCAGGGGCTTCTAGCCTCTGTTAAACATGTGGGAACTTCAGGAATTTAAAAAAAGCTAATGGCTGCCCCAATGAACTGGCTGCCATGGGAGGCAAATCCCAAAATGTTGGGCGGTACGGCAGAATTTTACGAGGGTTCTAGCCTAGCATCTTTCTTTGACGAAGGCACCTATTTCCAAGTGGGCGTTCCCTACAGATTCAAAGGCGATGCCTCCTGGGCTCCTTAGAAGTACTGCCTTACACCAGTGGAGTAGAGAAAAGCCAGAAACTGAGTCTTTTCTATGGGGAACAAATCTAGGAAGCACATTAGTGAGCTCCGTGGCACCCACAGGTTGATAGGTTTCAATGAGCATTAAAGGGTAATAAAGACTTCTGAACACCACTATAAAAGTGTTGGGAAAAATAATGGTCAATATATTCTTCACTGTCAGTGTGAATAAGTGAGGTGCTTGCATTTTTTAATACATTATCACAGGCTATAAATGCAGCTAAGATTTCCTTAACCGCCAAATTATGTCTCGCTATTTAACAGTGTTTTAACCATAAAAGCTGATAAGTTTTAAATTATAGTACTACTTTATTTTCAAACTATGCATTCTTATAGTACTTGCTGTTCTTTCCCTGGTAGCAATTGGAGCTCCACGCTGCATTACATTCCCCCCCACTCTATTGGTTTTTAATTTTAATTGATTGGGCTCCAGCTGGTATTTCACAGAGAGTCATTTGAACTTCTTTGCTTTCATTCTGGTATTAGGAACAGTTATTTTGGCATTCACTTTCTGTAAGAAGATTAATTTTTAATGTTCACCTTTCTGTTCTCTGTTACAAGCTCTCCTGGGGTCACTTTCAATTTAAAAAATTTTTATCTCGCTGTCCCCATCACAGTGCCTCTGAAATATCCGTTCTTGTGGCCCCCTCATTGCCCTGGTTTGGTTTCCGTTAAAAGGAAGCAAGCTTGATTTTTAAAATTTATTTAATTCAGTTTTTAATAAGAAAGGGGTACGTCATGTATCACTGAAGAAAATAGTTCCTAACACCCAACTGTGAACTGAGACTGCATGCCACATGATGCACCCCGATAGCAATGGATTCAAAGGTGATAGCTGTTTGGCAGACACTGCTTTATATCTCCTGCCATGTTAGCACCTCTATATTGCTTGTAGTGACTCTCAGAGTCCTACAGTATATTTATAAGCTATAAAGTAGATGAGTAGTAGGAGAGAATTCAGTATTTATTTTCAATAACATACAGACCCATGTTCTTCTGGTTATAAAGCTGGCTCAGTGAGCTCTCTGCCATAATGCAAGCCAGGTCCATCCATCCCTCATGTTTATAAATATTTTAAACTAGGCACAAGGCCCGTTGCGGGAAGAGAGGCAACGAGCCCTAGAGAGAGGCCGCTGGAGGGCCCCCCACGCACTGGCAAAGGAGAGTGCGGTGGCTCCCCGGCGGCCAGGCTCGCGCCACCCACCACCTTGCTGGAGGTGGCGGGGCAAGCCAGCTGGCTTCGTCCCTCCTCTGGAGGCGCGCTGGAGGCGGCTGCAGAAGGCGGCAGGCCTCGCCCGTCCACAGCACCGCACGCCGGTGGTGGTGGTGGTGGGCCAAGCTGGGCAGGCTGGCTCCTTCCCCGCCGTCCTACCGGCCGGCCGAGCAAACGAGCGAGCAGCGCACGTAGTGGTGGAGCGGTGACGAGCGAAGGACGGCTGCTCGCCGCCCATTCCAGCCACGTGCGTGCCAAGCTGGCTAGCCTCGTCCCACCCTCCCAGCCAATGGCATGGCAGTTGCCCCGAGTGGCAGCCGGCGGGCCAATGGCTGAGGGAGCGCATTTCCTCTCGCCACCCCATAGGCTGGTAGCCACCCCAAATCACTTTTATAATAAGGAGAGATTAAGTTGATCATCCTGTGAAAGCCAAGCCCCATGGTCCTTCAAGCAGAGTGCAGGCATAGTGCAGAATTGTTACTTGTGACTCAAGCAACTCCCCTTGTGACTGGGGCAGTATTGGGCTCTTCTGTTTGCAAAGCTGTTTAACCAAGTCGCAGTGGCCTGTGGAGATTTCATTCCTTGGGGTTAATGGAATGTTGCTGTAATCATGTCAAGAGCAGGACAGACTAACAGACTGGAAGGCTTCCAGCTCAATCTTTGTCAATGGCAGGTTAGGCTTTGCTTCCCAAGAGCCACTTCCTGAAGCAGCTGTCTTTTGCAGCCTACTGCAATCCACACGGGTGGTAAACCTAGGCAGCATTCCTCCCAAGTCCTCTGAAAATATCATTCCTGTAGGCAGGGGTCATTTCCTGCAGGAGCGTACAGGAGCGGAGCTCTGGCAGTAAAGAGCCCAGTGGGCAGGCACATGCAACAAGCCCCGCCCCCTGCTCCCAGCAGCCCTCAGTCAGAGCAAGAAGCAGCCAGGTAAGTTGCAGAGCCCCCCCCAGTCCAAAACAGTCCAGTGGCACCTTTAAGACCAAGTTTTATTCAGGTACAAGCTCTCCCTCCTCTGCGAGGACAGATCTGCACGTTCCCCACCCCCTAATAGCTAGTAATCCAAAACAGTCCAGTGGAGCCTGAGCGGTGGGTGTTGCCTTCTGACACACTTCTGGTGATGTCAGGGGGTGTGACATATGCAAATAAGTTATGCTAATGAGTTATGCTAATAAGCTCCTGCACCTCTTTTTCTACGAAATGACCCCTGCCTGTAGGTGTATGTGTTTTACATGAAATTTGTGAGGCTCGGTTTCTTCAGTTCAAGGTTTTAATGAAACATGCTTTCCCTTTGAATTTTAAGGAACTTAAAAGGCTTCTGAAGAAAGAAGATAGGCCCTTGCTGCTGATGTTCTATGCCCCTTGTAAGTATGCAGAATGTCCTCGTTAAGGTCCTATTGCCAAAATATACTTTTAATGCATCCCAAATCAATGACATGGGTCCAATGTTCTGTTTCCCCCCACTTAATATTCTTCCTTGCTCAGTTCTTATTCCAGATTTCAGCATAAACATTAGAAAGTGGTGCCAGAATATTTCAAAATATGTATATTTCTTCTAGGGGCATCCACTTGAATTATTGAGAAACACATGCTCGTAGTCTAGGCACAGGCTTACACCAGATGCATGGTTTTTGAACAATGGTTTTTAAAAGCCTGGAATACCTGGTCAGTAACAGCGTTCCGTGCGCCTTGGTGTTTAGTCATGCCGGCCACATGACCACGGAAACGTCTTCGGACAGTGCTGGCTCTTTGGCTTTGAAACGGAGATGAGCACCGCAACCCTAGAGTCGGATTCGACTGGCTTTTGAGCAAGGGAACCTTTACCTTTACCTTTACTTTCCTAGAACAGCTGATCATTTCTGGATTTAACCCACCTCAGAAGCAAATGAATCTTGAAATCACAGGCCCTACCAGATTGGTGGACTACAAACTGAAAATGAGGCTAAGAATGTTTAGGGTGCTGAGTGAGGAGGCAGAAGATGTAATAGCAAGGAACTGGTTAGAAATGAATATTGTAGGACTTGTGAGAACTCCAGTGATGACAGGAATTGCTTCAGCAGTTTACATATTCTGGGTTGTATCGAAACTAAACTTTCCCTTGATGAAAGGCACTTCTGCCGGTGGAATGGAACTTTCCTGTATCCTGCTGCTGTCCACTAATCTCCCAGAGATGCTGCTCTTAGGGGATGGGGTACTCAGAAACACCATGAAGGGCAAATGGAAGGGGTGAATTGAACCCACCCCCTTCCACTGATGGAAAACTTAAGTCAGAATTCCTAACCCTAACCCTAACCCTCTGTGTTAAGATGGCTTTTCCTCCCTGATGGCTGCCAACTCTTTAGTGAACTTACAAGAAAATTAGAGAGAGGGTTATGACTTGAACTGTACATTGTGGTAACACTGAAAGCCTTAGGTTGTGCTTTCTGCCTTCTCTGACCAGCACCTAAGAGGAGTGAAAAGGTTTTGATCTTGATCAGTTCATTTGAGTTCAGACTCATGGACTGACAGATACTCAAGTTAGCCATTGGTCTTAGAGAGGTCACAGGGGTTACTCAGACTTCCTTTTTGGTGTATTTCTATATCCTGACAAAGTATTGCGATAGTTGATTGCTAATCCTGGAGGGAAGATTATCATGTCTCCATTAGAAGTAATTAGGGTTCTGAAAGTTCACAGGCAGTTATTGCATAAGTTAAAGCTATAGACATAAATTTCTAGCAAGGGCAGATTCACAGGTACTTGCCTGATTTTTTTAAGGAAGCAGGGTGTATCTCTGTCTCTGTCTCCTTCCCTCAGTATTGGGCAGAATGTGATGGTTTAATTTTGATATGAGTGAAAATGGAAATATACTAGGAGTAAGGCCCGTTGTGGGAAGAAATGAAACGAGCTCTTGAAGGAAGCTCCAGGTGAGTGTTCTGGCTGTGGCTGGTGGGGCAGCAGAGGGAAGAGGAAAATAGAGGGAGGTGAGCCATGTTTATTTCCTTCTGCTTAGCTATAAGGTAGGGCTGTCTCAAGTCATTTTGCTGCCCCAAGTGGGTAGTATGGGAGGAAAGCCTCATGGTAACAGGTATGGTTCCCACCACCCCTGACTTATGTTGATTTGGGGTTATGCAGTGGCACCTAAGGTAGAAAAGCACCTCCTCCTATGCCATGTCTTCTGGGTTCCAAGGGTCTGGAAAGCAGTTCCATAGCCAGTTACAAGGTTACCGACTCTGGGTTGGGAAATACCTGTAGATCTGAGGGGTAGAGCCTGGGGAGGGCATGGTTTGGGGTGCGGAGGGACCTCAGCAGAGTATAATCCCATAGAGTCCATTGCCCAAAGCAGCCATTTTCTCCAGGAGAACTGATCTTGGAGATCTCCAGGTGCTGCCTGGAGGCTGGCAATACTAAGGGGAAGGCCTGACCTGTAGCTATGAGGGGCAGGGTATAATGCCATAGGGTCCACTGCCCAAAACAGCCATTGTAACAGCTGGGAAATTTTCTGTAAGGGAAATGATGTGCTGTGGCTGGGGAATACGGTAATTTCTGGGAGATCTCCAGGCCACACAGGGAGATTGGCAACTTCAGTGACCGTTTAAGGGAAGATTGGGATATGTATTTTGGCAACTCCAGTGACCGTTTAAGGGAAAATTGGGATATGTATTTTACCTCAGGACACATTGAATGACTCCCAACAGCAACAGCAAACTGTTTAGAATGTTAGAGGCAAAGGCCAATCAGGCCACATATGCAAATGGGGCGGAGAGGAACAGCAAACTGTTTAGAGTATTGGAGGTGAGACTCAGGCAATGCAGTCAGTGGATAGGGACAGCTTCTGAGTGACAGATCAGGGATTCAACTGATTTGGGAGCGTGTGGAATGTTCAGAAGAGTCCATGACCAAAACAGAATTATTATATATATATATATATATATATATATATATATATACATATTGGAATTTAGCTGTAAAGTTTTGAGTATGTGCAATAAACCCGTCTGTCCTCTTTAAAAAGATGCTGTTGTCTTAGGTGAAACATTTGGTATGTTTCTTGCTCTGATTACCCTAAGATTCATATACAACTCTCATCTTGCAGCATTTTGGTGTTTTTCTCTGTTGCCTCCTGCCTCTCTCTTCAGCAATTTCCTTGGTTGGGCTTACATTGAACATTCTCCGTTCTATCATTTAATGCCTTGGTTATGTAAAATAGATGGATTAGTAATCCAGATGAGGCCTTTTCATCATATGAATACAGTACTAATAAGCGGGAACTGATATTGCACACACTCAGATCACATCTCAGCCATCATATCAGTTTATTTTCTGTGTTCACCTTTCATTATGATGTTTTCAGGCCAAATGCACGTTACACATCCTCTTGTGAATGCTCCTAACATCAGAACACCACCATCTCCCACCAGACCCACAGAAATCAACCTATGCAGTATGTAACAAGAGTTACATTAAGTGCTTACCAAGTAATGGTAATTATTCAAGCAAGCTTCATGCTGAAAGGAAAGGACATGAAGCTCCAGGGTTTCTCCAAGAGAATGTTATTGAGTGCAACCTCATGACATCAAAACAAATTGTCAAGTAATACAACTGTTATGTAGGGGAGGGGAGTCTGCTCAAAAGTTTACTAGCGAGACACCTAAGTAAAAAATGCAATACCTTCCATGAGTATTATCCATCTTGGCCTTGAAAATCTTGGAGTTCCTTGTTCTCACCGTTGCACTAATTCTAGAGCAATCTCCTCAGAGCATCTCAAAGTCAAAACTTTTTGAATTTGCAGCCTACATTTATTAGTGCCCAAGATCGTAACTAGGAGTGTGCACGTTTTTTTTTAACCAAAAAATACTGGATACCAATATTGTATTCAAATCCAGGTTTTTCCGGCAATCCTAAATTTTTTCGGGTCCAAAAGACATAAGAAGAAAAACAAAGTTTTTAAAAAGTAGCAGCAAAGCTGCAAAGCACAGCTGACAGGTGGGAAAAGCTGAAAGAAACAGCTGACAGTTTATAGGGCTTTCTACTGCAGTCCATTTAAACAGGAGGCATTTAAAGGAACTGCAGAAGACAGCCCAAAAAACAGCGGACCTGTCTCCCCGCAGGATCAGCTGATCTGAGGGCTGACTTCTCCTGCAGACTCGTTTGAATGAGGCTGCAGGAGAAGCCAGCCAGCCCAAAGCTGACCTGGCTGGGAGCGCTCTGCTCCCACGGGCTCAGCTGGTCCTTGGGATGGCTTCTGCAGTCCCTTTAAAGTTTAAAGGGACTATAGAAGGCCCAACAAACAGCTGGGAGTTGGGAGTAATGTGCCCTTGCCTCTCCGTTGTTTTTCAGATCTACCCCAAATATATCTGGGATTTTTTTTCAGGATTTTTTTTTCCAGTTTTCTGAAAAGATCCCAGATATCTTTGGGATGCTGAAATATACCCCCCAAATACCAATAAGGTACTTTTCGGGTATATTTTCAGCACAGGTAGATCTGAATGCCCACCTCTAATTGTAACCACAGCTTTTTTATCCCCAATCTCTTCTAGAGTTAACAACCAATAAAACCATGAGGAGATATATTCCCTCCCGGTCTTCTTTCATTCTGACCTTCACAATCCAAGTCTTCTCATGCTCTTTGTTCCTGCAGTTGCTGTACCTGCTCTTCCTTGGATTCACCCACCAGAACATGTAGCATGTCGTCTTAAGTGTTTGTTGTTTTGTAGATTTCCCGTGTACCCTTCCCTTTAGAGATAAAGATTTTTACACAGAAAGAAAATGCCTCCTTTCCAGTGAAGAAAGATTAATTGCAAGCTCTGAATATTTAAGTATTTTTACCAGATTTTCCAACAAGATCCTGGGCTTGAGGTCTCTCTGGACGGTCCAAGGGCAAACGTAGCTGAGGTCCAAAGAGCAAAGCAAGGTGCCGGCTAAGCAAGGAGAAAAAGCCCGCAACACAGTTGGAGGGGTGTTCAGATAACGGGAGACCTGGCACACTTTCACTGAGCTGGGATGGTCTTTTTATGGGGAAGAGTCCCATAGCTGGACATGAGCGCCCACTTTCCCAGGAACATGATTAGTCCAAGATAAAAAGTTTGAATCTCACATTTGAAGCAAAGCCATTGGGTAACACTGAGTACTGCTGACACAGCTGCTGCTTATGATGACTTCTAATAGCTCTACAAGACTTCATGTTTTTTCCTCCATGCAGATTTACTCGTAACCACCTTTTTTTTAAACTTCTGGAGGCGTTTCAGAGTATACGGATTTATCTCAATGGCCTTGCTGTTTTCCTGGCTCACAGTATGTGTGGCAACCTGCTGTCTTATATCAATTTGAAGCTCTAATACCTCCTTTAAGCCTATAAATCATTCCTTCAGGGAGACGCCAAAGCCC